TTTTGCAAAAGAACCATCACCATATCCAAGAAGGACACTCACATCATCACTCCGAAGATTGCCAACAACGATATCTAGTCGAGTATCGTTATTGAAATCACCAATAGCTATAGATGTTGGACCAGAGCCAACTGAATATATTGTTTCTTTTGCAAAAGAACCATTCCCGTATCCAAGAAGGACACTCACGTCATCGTCGTAATAATTGACGAAAACGATATCTAGTCGATTGTCATCGTTAAAATCACCGGCAGCCGCTGATCGTGGATTCTTCTCTAGAGCATATGGTGTTGTGGTTGCAAAAGAACCACTCCCATATCCAAGAAGGACACTCAGACCCAGACTCAAATAATTAGCAACAACGATATCTAGTCGCTTGTCGTTGTTGAAATCACCAACAACTACAGAATATGGTCCAGAGCCACCTGAGTATCTTGTTTGATTTAAAAAGCCTTCAAATCGACCAAGGAGAATATCTATACTATCGGTATCGTTGTTAACGACGACGATGTCTAATCGATGGTCCTTGTTGAGATCGCCAATGGCAATGGAAATTGAGGAATAGGATCCAGTTGAATACAAGATTCGATTATCAAAACTACCGTTTCCATATCCAAGAAGTACACCTATATTGTTAATGCCATTATTAGTGAAGACGATGTCTAACTGATGGTCTTGGTTGAAGTCTATGACCTTAATTGCATATGGAGAAGCGGGACCCATGGAATAAGTGACTTGGCTAGCGAAAGTTTCATTGCCATTGTTTATAAATATGCCTATTTGTCGAGTTTCAGAATTCGCAATAGCTATGTCGAGATATTTGTCGTTGTTGAAATGACCTGCAGCGACTGAATATGGATGGGAACCAACGCCAGTGAGAAGGGTGATTTGTTTATCAAAAGTTCCGTTACTATTTCCAAAAAATATGCCAACGTTATTCGTGCCATAATTGGCAATGGCGAGATCTAAACAGTTGTCTTTATTGAAATCTCCAGCAGCTAATGAGGATGGAAAAGAATCGTAGCCCGTCGAATATGTAATGGGTGGCGAAAAGTTTCCAGGGCTCAACGAGTAGAATATACTGATACTGTGAGTTGCATAGTTGGCAGTAGCAATATCAAGTAGTGTGTCATTGTTGAAATCAACAGCAATAATTGCTATCGGACGAGATGAGCCTGTTGAAAACTCTATTTGCTTGGCGAACGATGAATTTCCAAGTCCTTGAAAGATGCCAATATTGTTAGTGCCGAAGTTCGCTACTGCAATATCCAATCTGTTGTCATTGTTAAAATCAGCAACTGTGACCATGTAAGGACTAGAGTAGGAACCTGTTGAATACATAGTTGGATCTCTAAAACTGCCGTCACCATTTCCCAAGTAGACAGCTATTTTGTCAACTATATGATTGGCAACAACCATATCCAAAACTGTGTCATTGTCGAAATCACCAATAGCGACAGATCGTGGACCATACTTGTAGTCAACTGGCTTTTGAGCCGTTGGTTTGAATTTGAGCTTGCACTTTTGAACTAAACGACATATGAAAAGCAGTGTGATGACTGATTGGTTGCTCAAGTACTACTATCTCTATTTAGTCGTATCGGATCCTCACAAGTTCTATAGTACGCTGTCAGAAGTTGCCGCATTACTGTATTTGGACGCTGCTGAAAACCAATCATCTTTCATTAGAATTTCACTTAGTTTCTTGGAATTCAGATAGAGCTAGATATATGCGAGTATATCATGCAGGCTCATTGTCCATTTTCCTTCTTTGATTTACTCTAGAATTCGTTCAAGACGTATGTCATCTTTGAGAACGGAGAAGAACGTCAACGAATACAATATGACTGAAGGATGTAAGAATGCATCAAACTCAGTGATTAAATGTAATCACTTTCACATTTTATAATAATTTTTTCTAGCATTTATTTAGCTAAACGTTTGATACAATAAATGAAAGTTTCATCTTTTTACACGCTCAAACGATTATCAAAATTATTGTGTTAGGTAATGCTTTCAGAGGTTCTATTAGTATTTTGAATTAATGATTGTATTAACAAAGAGAATATAAAAATAGACAAAATTATGAGGATGGAGAAAGGGGTGTGAATCTACTCATCGAGTAATCATGCGCGAGTAGCACAATATATAAGCAAAGAAGAAGAGATAGATGACGCACTAAATGACGATCTTCATTGTAAATGTAGAGTCAATGGTTCGTTGATAAGAACAACGAACAATGATCGATAATTTTTGTGTGACACATGCGCAATTATTTAGTTCACCTTTTTTTTTCTTACAATTACAAAACTATGACTTCGATCGACATCTTCCATCAGAAACGCTCGTACGTGTTATTTTGAGTTTTTAGTTACAGATCCTCCATGTAATCTTATTTTATCTATAGAAAATGGCTAACATATCAATAAAAAAGAACATACCAGTAGCTTTTGGTGAAGTGAAACAAACAGTCAATGTACCAATACTTATTGCTATAATTGTGAATACAACAAATGCACCTGCAGCAATTGAAGATCGATGTCGTGACCAAGGCGAAAATTGTCTAATAAAGACATTCTATACATTATTATGATTGAGCGCAAAAGAAAATTATATACAAAGGTGTCGGAGTCATTGACCACTTCTTTGTTGTATTAGTAGCAGTGGCACATTTTGCTGAATTAAATTCATTTTGCGTTGATTTTTTACATTGCTCATTGTCAACAGTAGGATGTTGTGCAGCAAATGAATTATCAACTGAGATAGCATTATTATCCGTAGAATTTTCATTCATCTATGTAAAAGAACAGTATTTAGTAAAAGATAATTTTCAGTAAGTATTCATTGTTCACTAGAATACTTTTCTATAAATTACCTTTCAAGTTATCGATAATGTCTTTCCTATGCTGAAAAGTTGCGAAGTCTTTAAAAATTGGAAAATATCTAAAATAACAGAATTAATTACATTAGTAATCATACTTTAGAATATTAAATGGTTACATGTTTGTTTTCTTTTGAAAAAATTGCTTCTTTCTTGGGTATGGATAGTCTCTTAATGAACACCAAAATAATCAGGCTATGTCAAACAAAGACAACGCTTCAAAAAGTTTCGATCTTATCCAAAAGCAAAACATAGATAGGTATTAGAAACATGAACATAGAACACAGTGTGAGCCAGTACTCAATGAGGTATGCTTTCACAAAAGTTCTTTTTTTTTGTGCTAAGTTGACTCAATGGACTGAACTCTATTTGTTAATACATGTTTTTGCTTTCAACTCATTAGTTTAAACATTTCATTGGTAACGTTTTCCTTATTGATAAGTCTTGTTTGTTGATAGCTTTGGTTTCGAAATCTTTTTAGTCAGTGAAAATATACTTTATTCATTAAACGATACATTCTATTGTTGAGTATGATTTAGACGTGTCTACCAATGAATTTAAATTTTTTTTTGAAAGTATTTAATTATTTCTATAAGGTATTTTGTCAATTGAATCATTACCGATCGAAGACTCGGAAAGGTTTTTCATTTCATTCAATCAACTATACATAACTCTAGTGATTCGACTAAGATAGTCGTGATTATGATAGGATTCAAGCTGCAGATGTGCTGACTATCTAAGACCTTATTCTAGTTATGGTATATCAAAAGTAGTGGCGGTTTCATCGCTATTTCGTATAGACGGCTTGAGAAAATTTTCTTTTTATATAGACTAATAGTAAAAACAAAGCTCTACATTTCTACACTATTTGATCATTATTCATCCAATATTGTAATAATAAAATTTTCATTAGAATTGTTCAGCTATGATATGTAACGATAACAGTAAGGGGAAAATAGCGGAGAAATATTTTTAGAATAACTTTTGATAGATATAAGATAGAGAACTGCAGTTTTAACCGTTGGAAAGAGAGGATGAAGATGTATCGAATCAACTATATTAGCCTTTTCTAATATGATTACTGAATTTTCTTCAATTGTTTTTCAAAATGTCGGGAAAATGTTTTTTTTTATTAAAAAAAGAAAAAGCAGAAAAAAGGGATTTTTTCACAGTATTCGCTAGAAAATTGACTTAGAGTATCGACTAGAATACCGAGAACTGGTTAATCATAAAATATAAACTGCTAATATTTTCGCACTCTTGTAGATCTTGAATTCATCATTTGAGTGCAAACCTGATAAGTGAAAATTCACTGTGAATAATCCAAGGGGTCATGTTTATTTTCGAAAAGATGGGTCAAAAAGCTTTTACAAATTGATTAGAAAGTTCCCTAATAAATGATTTGATGCATCTTCATCCCCTCTTTCCAATGGTTAAAACTACATTTCTCTATCTTATTCCTATCAAAAGTTATTCTTAAAATATTCCTCCGCTATATTCCCTTACTAGTATCGCTATATATCATAGCTGAACAAGTCTAATGAAAACTTTATTAATTACAATATTGGATGAATAACGATCAACTAGTGTAGAAATGTAGAGCTTTGCTTGCGCTATCAGTCTTTATAAAAAGAAAATTTTCTCAAGCTGTCTATACGAAATTGCAATAGGATCGCCACTATTTTTGGTATGCTCTAAGTATATGTGAGCTAAATCAGGCAAAACAGGACATTTACGCTCTTCATTTGAATTTTATTCTCTATAACAGTGAATTTTTTAGATAAATTCCTTTAGCATAGACTTATGTGAGAATGTTTGATCTTTCACACGGTTATTAATTAAAAGTAATTAGCGAATATCTCGCTAATCAGATGAGAAAAGAATCTGAAAACTTGACGGCAGGCTCTAGAGCATAAGTTGCATCTATGGTGAAAATGTTCAGCAAGATTACACTTCAAACAAAAATTCCTTCCGAGAAAGCCGGTTTTCTAGAGACCCTAAAAAGTGCATAAACGAAAATTTTTATCTTAGCGTCATCTAGAGACTCTGAGTAATGATTTGTAACGTTTGAAGTTGATTTCGAACTTTTCTGTTAGTTAAAAGAGCGTCTTCTCGGTTGTATAGTCATACTGCGTCACGTCACTAACGACAAATAAATCGGTTTTTTTAAAAAATCTTGGAATGCTAAGAAAAAATGTTGCATATAGACTTTATAGCGTCAAGAGTCTTCTATGGAATGTCCTATTTAGTTTTCTAAAATTGTGCATGAAATCGGAGTTTTTAAAAACTAAAAGACATGAAGTGAAAATCGATGTCCTTTTTTGTGCCATGCCGCTAACATTAGTTTGCACCTAGAGAAACTTAATGTCCATGCAACATATAAAAATCGAATCTAAGAAAGCTCATTATCTTGAGATATACATATTTTAATTTTGCGAAGTCACATCGCTAACGAATGGTTTAGCCCATATATATTTTTATATACTGCTTTGACTCTAGTGTTTCGTAATCCGCTGACAACATCTTTGAGGAAAGGTTGGAAAGGTTTTTATAGGACTTTACGTATATGTTCTTCTATGATCGCAGAAATGTTTTTTCATAATCAAAAGAATGAGTCTAAAAATGAGTGATTTTTTCGAATCGTATTATATCACTTTTAACATCGGAACAAGTTTAATTAATCAAAGTGAAAACGTGGACTAACACATTTGATTAATTTGAATATTTTCCTAATTTATTTAGTCATCACAATGTTACTTATTTATTATTCTCTTTTTTTAATTTCTTGTAAAGGGAAGCCAAAAGGCTTATGAGAGTATTTCTTCAACTCATACCATCCATTGAAACTTATATCTACCTGGCAGGTTCGATTTACAATAAGAATCAAAATTCTAAAAAGATTTCACCTGAATGTTCCCGGGGAATCGACAGATCCTGCATTTCCAGGATTCACACTATTCCCATAATATTCCCGGCATTCCCATGGAATTCTAAATCTTGGGAATGAGCCGATTCCATCTTGATTATAAATTCATAAATTATTTAAAAGAAACATAAAAGAAAGAGAAATAGATACATGTTTTTACCATACATTCATTTGATTGTTGAGGAAACAGATGACAGAAAATCATATGAAAAGACAAAAAAAGCATACAATAAAAATAAAAAACTCATGTTTATTACCTGTACTGCTCGTGAATTGTGTTTGAAGGGAACAATAAAGCTGCGATTGTTAAAGCACATCTTTTGCTAAATAAATCTTTTACAAATTCGAACTACTATAGGTAAAAAAAAGCAATTAACATTTCCTGACGATCTATGCAAAAGTAACGCTCGTCGCTTCGACTCGCTTAGCCCTCGACTGAAGAGTTAAATTTATTTACATATCATTTTATTCTGTTTCCCTGAGATAACTGATCGTAACATCAGATGTGACTGAGTATACGTGTTACAATACGATGATCCTAATCTGTAATAGTATAACTAACTTAGAATTTTAATCATTCTCAGAATTAAAATCGCGACTTTCCTCGACTGCTTATAGAGCAAAACGTGTTCAAAAATAGTGTCATGAAATTCCCTCTTGTGCAGCACAATGGTTCGAAAAATGTATTTACTTGTTTCATCGCTAATAATATGAGCAAAGACTAATCTTTTAATGAAAATTTATCACGAAAAATAAATAATAGGTACACTCAACTGCATCACATTGTTACGTCTTTTGATCTTTGACTTTTCAACCGACGACAAGCAAACAAACTATGTTTTTTTCATATGACCATTCCTTCAGTCAAGGAAATAGCGTTTACTGAAATGCATGAGCTCCTCAAAATCTGATTGAACGAGGAATGGACTCAAAAAATACTGATTGCCTTAAAGCCCAGATCTTCACAACCTAATTGGAGAAAAGCTAGGTTTCGGAAACCGTTTCAATAGCTGAAATTTCACGCAGATACAATTTGATTGGTCGAAAGCCGAATATCGAGGGCTCTGATTGGCTAAATTTCCGAGCTGAAAAACACCTGATTGGTCAAAAACCTCTGATTGGCTAAATTTTCAAGCTGAAAGTACGTGATTGGAGGAAAGACAGATATCGAAGAAATCCGAGCATTGATCTTTAAGCGGATATTTTTTTGACCCCGATGTTTTTTTGAGGGTGTGACAAGCAAACAAACAAGTAAACTATTCTTTTTCATACGATCCTTCCTTCAGTCGAGGAAACAAAAATCAAAAACCGAAAAAAATTCAGTCGAATACTGAAGGCAATAAGAAAAGAAACATGAACTATTTTATTGTTTTCAAGGCTAACCTCCTTTAGCGAATTAATTCATAATGGAGAAAGGAATCTACTCTCTTCTCAAAAAATCATCTACTTTGCGACTAGCTCAGGAACAACGGCAAAGGCGAAACTTCTTCCGACAACTGTAACCATGATAAGAAATATGGTGACGCTGGGATGCCTTTCACACTGTGTGATTTATGAATCTCTTCCTTCATTGTTTCCCTCTCCTGAACAACGAACATTTCAACTGGGTAGTGGCAACAAACCCGAATCGTATCCACGGGCGAAAGATGGCACACCGTTAGGTTTGATTTCCCAATGTTTTTCAGCAGTTCCTCTTGTTCGTGGCAGTCGAATGATGAAGTCTTGCCTCACTATTCTTCCGATTGATTTGACTGAAGGAATTCCCGATTTTGAGACAAATACATTAATTCAGCTCATTTTTGCATTAACATGTCATGATACATATTCCATTACGGTTTCATATGCTCCGACCTTCATTCATACCGTTAAAATTATCGAAAAATACTTTGAAGAAATGAGTCTTTGCATTGCTTCTACGAATTTCGATCATAGCTCTCTTGTTCGAGACAATACGCCAGGGAAAATCTTTGATGTTTCAGGGCCAGAT